ACAAGGTCCTAAATGATAGAAACTGGGGAGATATCCTAAGCAACATGGATCTAAAGCTATGTCTAGAACAAATTAACTCTGTGGCACACGAGGTATGTTCAAGGTATATTCCTTTAAGGAAAAGGAAGAGAAGATGTAAACTAGAAAGAGAAAGGCACTCCCTATACAAGCAAGGTAAAGAATAACAGAGCGGCTGAAAGAGGCGAATACATCTGTAATATGAAGGGAGGCACTGGTCAGAGAAATAGCACACATTGAACTTCAGCTAAAGGAATCTTACAGGAGTCAAGAAACATGGGAACTCAAAGCCATTAATGAAATTGAAAGAAACCCAAAATATTTCGTTTATGCCAAATACAAGTCAAGAACAACATCCAGTCGGTGCTGTAGGACTCTTGTCACTAAAAGCAGTTAGATGCAAGTAAAGGTCCCAATTTGCTCAGTCAAATTGCCAGCATGGGCTATGACTAGGTGAGTAAGTAGAAGGAAGGATGATTAGAAAATGATTGCTTTCATGCAAGTCCTGGAGGACAGACCAGGTGAAGTCTAGTACAGTCGAGGAAAAGCAGACCGAGAGAGCGATGCAAGAGTGAATACGAGGATCAAAATGGGTGGGAGCACCCGTATTGAAACCATGGAGGGGAGAGAAGCGAAAAAAGCCTCCAACTTAAGGCTGGAGGCACTAAAGTCGCCATGATAGGCATTAAAGTCGGCATGTAACAGAAGTAGTGGTGGTAAGGATGAAACCAGAAATGCAACATCTGGGATAGATAATGCCCGAGAAGGAGAGATACAAAGAACAGATTGTATACCATTTATTCAAGTGGATATGGGCTGCAGTGTAATGCTGGGAAGTATGAACAAAGAGCTGATGGTATGGAACACCAGTGCATATAAGAAGTGCACTTTCATTAAAGGATTCATTGGGAAAAGGATCCAATGAATATAATAAATCATAGCCCGAGATGGGATGGATAACAGTGGAGCATAATTTGGGTTCTTGTAAAACAAACTGGGGAAAACTGGGACAGCAACACCTGAAGCTCACCCCGGTTATCTCTGAGGCCGCAGATAATCCACTGTAAATAAGCCATGATTTGCAAAGAGAAAGATACAAGAAATCTGAAGGTAGAGGTATCGAGGGACTAATAGGGTTAGAAAAATCCACATGTGGAGGCAGAGGAAACTTTTAAGCAGCAAAAGATTGGGATGCTGCGAAGAAAGGAGTTGTGCAGACGAAGAGTGAAGAGGAACAGGTGGATGATCAGTGTCCATCAATGGTCTTGTCTCAATATATTCTCAGATAACTTCAAGTATTTCAGAGGACAAGGGCATTGTATGTGGTGCAATATTGGAGATGAAAGGAGGGCGAGTAAAGATCGGGGTGACTACTGACTGTACCAAAGTCGGAGAGGGGGGACGAAAGGGTAGAGGGAACTGGGGAAGAAGCTTGGGAGGAGACAGGAGAGGAAGCGACCTGGGAGGGGGCATAAGAGTAAGAAACTTGGGAGGGGACAGGGAAAGAAGGTACTGTATGAGGAGGATGTACCTCCACACTCATAACAGAGCCAGTTAGAGGTGAAGAACCTGGTAGAGACTGGGAAGGAAAAATGTGTAGGTTGCAGAAGGGAAGGAGGGGTTAAAGGAGATTTTAACAATGGGGATGTTTCGGATTTTGGAGAAGGGGAGGGACGATGGGGAGTAGGTGTTGTATGAGGTCTTGTAGACAAACTTGCGAGCGAGAAGAGGAAGAGGCGAGAACAGAACGAGGTGCCGAGGTAGGGACCTCCGAGTCCAGGACAGCGAAAGAATTGGAGACGGGGGGCAACTATGGAAGGGGTGACCACAGAAGAGGCTGTGGAAGTTGGGACCCCAGAGGTAGGGGGACATTTAGTAACTTGGTAATAAGAAATGTGGGGAAGTCTCCCTTGGAGGCATAGATGAGACTGCCATAGCATATGGGAGGCTTTCTGCCTCTGAGAACTGATTTCTCGCTCATTTAAGTAAACTTGGCAAGCCTCATGGCAATTAAGCAAGAGGGAGGCAGACTACAAGACTTATTGGTATGGTCGTCAGCACCACAGACTGGGCATTCGGCCATGGACTTGCAATATTTTGCTGGATGACCAAAACGCCAGCAATTTCTACACTGTTGCGGTGTAGGGATCACCTTTCGAACTTGTAAACTGTGTCCCACAATATAAACAGACTGAAGTTCATGGCAGTCAAAAGTTAAGCGAACTACATTGCAAATTATTATAATCAAGGGGAAGCGCTAAACCCGGAGGATTATACAGCGCCTAGGGGAGGGGATGTGGAAGGCATTCAGGCTTAATTCGGGGAACTGGAGCACAGATCCAATTCCCTAAATCAAGAGCCCCTCACTACATTGCAAAGGTATCATCTCTGCCTGCAGGCAGGGAGGACACAAGTGTCTACTTGGAGGATTGGGAGATCTTGGAATTCAAGCTGTTCTAGAATGCCATTGCCACATGTCTGGAAATTCTGTTCGACAATGGTATGGGGCAGGACAGTACCACTACACGAATTGAGGGAATTATGTTTTTCAATAGTTACAGGAATAGCATCGATAGTTGTAGAGAAAGATCATGAGCTTGATTAGCATTCTGGACAGTGATGATGCATGTACCACTCTTGAGAGCATGAAAGGATCTCTCTTCCAACATGGCATAGGAGCACCTTGCCAATACTATGGTTGGAAAGATAGGCAGTAGAGGAAGTGTCGTAGAGTAAAAAACTTTGTCCATTGTGTAGTTTGAAACAGCGTGATAGGGGAGTGAGTGATGTGCTGGTTTAGGTGTTTAGGTGTGGGACTGGGCGGGTGATCTGAAAATTGACGCACCATAGAGGGAGAAGCTAGAAGCATAGTCCAAGAGAGAGGGAGGTCAGACATATCAAAGGAGTCAGTCTGAACCCCAGTACCTGAAGAGTGGTCAAATAATGAGGCAGGGTTGGAACAGGGTGCGGTGTTAGAAAGGGGCCCGGGTTTGCCTGAGCATATTGGCCAGTGAGGACATTTTTCAGTGACACGATCTCTGATGCTTGGGATATCAAGTTTTCTGCATATTTAAAATTTTGGCAGTTTGAGGGCATCCCGTGATGATCCTCGTCGCTTTGTTCTGCAGTTTTTCTTGCCTTCCAAGCTTCCACAAGAGCAAGTAATGGTGCGACAGTCTTGTTACAACAGGTCTAAGTAATGGGACCTCAAAGCCTAGATACCTGCATCTGGTTACATATTCTGGTCGACACTTCATGCAGCTGGATCTGGCAAACTGCTCCTCTGTCGAGGAGGACGCTTGAGTATCAGTTTCCCAGGTCCAAGCTGCCAGATCAGGAACAGTAATGGAACATGTAGAATACTCTTCGAGATTATTACATTTAAGGGAAGTGCTAAACCCACAGGAGTCTTACAGCTCAAGTCTAAGGGATAAATCCAGTTCCTTGGACAGAGTCCCTAACCAGCATCAAGGTACTTTCCTTGAGGGGTCCATGGATCAGGATTACATTCATGGCGGGAGTGCTAAAACGATAGTCATACAGCACCTGGGAAATAGAATATAGGCAGGTTTGAAATTAGAAGTGCGCTAATTTTGAATCAATAGTGACCTTGGTAATGAGCAAATATCACAAAAGATTAAAATTAATATGCAGATAAAATGCAAATAACTCGCCAAGTTAAAACATGGATCATCATTTAAGAATCCCATCCAACACTTCCACAACTTCAGACATCCCCAAGCCATCCCGGTAATTTTAAAAAGTGGAGGCCTAAGCCATGAGGAAAATTGTTATAATTATAAGAAATTGTTATAATTATAAGAGGTCGACTGGTAAGCCAACGGAAGGCCTCTGTCAAATCACCAAAAGTTCCAGCTGTGGGTCATCACAATCAAGACCCGTGTCGGGAAACTTTACCAGTTTACTGACAAATCTTACCTAACCTAACCATGAAGAAAAGTCAGCTGCACACAACACAGGGAAAGAGAACCTAGAAACTGGCTATGCACAAATAATCCGCACAAAGAAGCTAATGAAGTTTCGGTCAGACTTGGACCTAACTAGTTAATAGTCAAACTCAAGACCAAAACGTAGTTATAAGCTTTTCTTATATGCGGGTTATTTGTGTACAAGGCACAGTAATGTGCCTCTTTATTTTTCTAGACGGCTATGGGTTAGGCGTGTGCCCAAACCTCAATTGACAGATTAGTCTCAAAATGAATTTCTGTTAGAGCCAAAACACTTGTCCTGTTGAACTGGGTACTTTTGTAGGGCCCACTGCACCCACCCCTTCAAGGACATTACTATAAGTCCCATAAAGTCACCGAGGTAAAAGCTGCTATAGGGAGCTCGTTACAGCAGCCCTCGCTAAGGTTATGGAGGGCAATCACGGTTGAATCTGGTAAACAGAATAGTCCCAATTTCTTCGATGAAGAGGGGATGACCTCCCCAACATTCAGGGAACCTCCTTGGTCCCCCGCCCCCTTGAGCTTGTAATTCATTCATGAGGAGCACTAAACCAGTTGGAGTCATTATAAAAACACCAAATCCAGGGGTCATACACTGCCAGGGGGAAATTGAGGCTATCACATTCGATCCAAGGAAAGAAACAAGCTTCAATTCCATAACTCAGCCTTCCAGCATTCAGGAATTTCCCTTTCAAGTTTTAAACACTTAGTTATTCCTGAATGGAGCCCATGTTGATTTTAGTCTATCTGGCTTTCCTTCTGTGCCTTTCCGATGTATTTTCTGTGTAACTTATTACTGCACAACGAAGTTAACAGCTAAAGAGCTTTCATTTTTTTTAGCTGTACAAGCATTGCAGTTACGTGTTAATCTAACTGGCTGACTGCTCTGAAATATAAAGGTTTTGCAGAACGGTCAAATTCCGAAAAATTTTAGTAGTGGAGAATTAGAAATACCTTGATAATTATATAATTTATTAATGCTTAAAACTTACACTCAAAAACTAACATTTTGCAGAGTAAGTAATTCATAAACTAAACTAATAATATCCACTTGCAGAATTTGCTAAAACTTCCCATTTCAATTGAAAGTTTCCAATTACACATTTTAAGAAACCGATACTGAAGCAGTCCCTAAAAAAAATACCAAAATAGTATGCTCTCGTGCAAACATTCCAATTTACCTAAACAGTCTGTCAATAAATTAAACAAAATATACAAAAAATTAAGCTGTATACAATACCAGGTAAAAAAAAAATTAGTAATTTTCATATTGATGTATTACTTTTTCCTTAGTGCTGAGAGTATAAAAATTTACTATAAAGGGATGTACTTGCCAAATGAATTAGCCAATCTTGTAATTTTAGCTTTGCTAGTTACAACTCTCCAGGTACTAGGCAAAGGACGGAAGGTGGTGAGCTGGTTGAATCGAGCCTTGGTGACGAGGAAGCCCGATGATGATGTCCGCACCCACAGCATGCCTCTGGGAACCTCTAACACACGCTCCTCGCCTACCTCTGCAGCATTATAATAAAAGCGCTAAACCATAAGGGTTACTGAGCACAGCAGGGCAAGGAGAGGATGCAGGGGTAAGGCGTAGCAAGAGGGAGAGGGATGATTTAGGTTATGAAGTGCAGCGGGGCATTGGATAGTGCAGGGGTAGAAGGTAGCTAGAGATTAAGGTAGAAAGGACTGAGGAGAGTGCTAGAGGGATTCTCAGAGAGTAATAAATCAGTTACTGTCAAAAAGTCAGTGAAAGAGTCTGGGTTAAAGGAGGGTCCATCAGCAAGAAGTGAAGGGAAAGAAAGGGCAGCAGAGCAGGGACTACATTGGAGGTAAATTCTGCGTGCTTGATAGTGGCCAGTCCAACAGAATGTTGCTAACAGATACTGGAACTTGACAATTCTCACAGAGGAACAGGGCACCTCTCCATGAGATGCCCGTGAGTAAGAAGTGTTGCCGATGGGAAGACGGGAGAGAGTAGTCTCCCAACCTCGACACTGATGACAAGACTGCCAGAAACCTATATTTGGTTTAATAGAATGAAGTCTCTTACGGAGCAGATCAGACCAACGTTGTTGCCATCGGGTGCAAAAGTGGGTAACAATTACAGAAAAATAGTCCATGAATGGAATACCTCTATATGAAACTGGGAGGTCATGTACTGCTGACTGCACAGCAGTGTCTGCCTGTTCATTGCCCTGTATGTCAACATGACCAGGGACCCAACAAAAAAATATTTGTGCTTGCTAGAGATAAAGAGTAACCAAAGTTGTATATGAAGAACTAGGGGGGTGAGCTGTATCAAATTTGCATATAGCCTGTAAAGCACTAAGGGTGTCTGAAACGACCACAAATGGTGACACAGGCATAGATGCAATATGGATAAGTGCTACAAGAATGGCATACAATTCAGCCGTAAAAATGCTAGCCAAGGATATGAAATGTCCTCACATGACACTGGAAATACTGCTGTGAATCCGACACCATCAGAAGACTTAGAACCATCGTTGTACACTGATTGCACGAGAATGAGAGCAGAAGTGGTCGAGAAAAAGAGCAGGAAGCCACCATAGGTAGTTGGGCTTTCGTGCATAGCTGTGGGAAAGAACAGACACGAACAGCTGGAACTTCCCAAGGGGGTAGGGAAAAGTGAAATGCTACATGAACATAGAAAGGTGGTAACTGAAGAGGAGACAAGAGTGAATGTAGGTGGACAGAAAAGGGATGGAGTAAATAGGGGCGACAAACAAATAAATAACATCTACTAACATCTGACTATCCTATATACAGAAGGATTGTGGAGGTTATGAGATCAAACATAATATCGAAGGCAATGAGCATCACGGCTATCAGACAAGGATGGAATATTTGCTTCTGCATAGAGGTTCTCAACAGGGGACGAGCAAAAGGCACCAAGGCACAGACGGAGACCTTGGTGATGAATGAGATCTAACTTAGAGCTGTTGGAGAGGCCGCAGAATAGATTTGGTAACCATAATTTAGCTTGCACAAGACTAGAGTGGAATGCAAATGGAGGAGAGTGGGACGATCTGCTCCCCATGAACAATGTGCAAGAACCTTAGAGAGATTTAGCCGACCATAACAAGTTGTCTTTAAAGAAGAAATGCAAGGTCTCCACGTCAGTAGGATATCAAAGAGCAGGCCCAGAAACATGACCGTATCACATCCCGGAATACATGAACCTCACCTTCACGTCTAGTGAAGGTAATGAATCGGGTTTTCGTACTAGAAAATTTAAAGCCATGAGAAATGGTTCAATGGGAGACTCAGTCAATCACACCCTGAAGGGAGGCTGCTACTAGTCGACAGTCGGCGCCCGAGTAAGCTATAGCGAAGTCGCCAACAAAGTGATGACCAAATATGCAAAGGAAGAATGGAAGGTAGGTCATTTATAGCTAAGAGAAAAATAGTAGTGCTGAGGACACAACCTTGTGGGGCTCCCTCGCCTTGTACAAAGTCCGAGGAAAGCGAGGTGGCAATATGAACCCAAAAATGTCTATTGGACAAGAAAGCAGCAATAAAGTTTGGTAGATAACACAAAGGCCTAAGGAGTGGGCTTGGGCCAGAATGTTATACCTCCAAGTGGTGTCATATGCCTTCTCTAGATCAAAAAAGACCGCAAGGACAGTGTAGTTGTTAGCAAAGGCATTTCGAATATATGTATCTAAGTGAAGCAAGGGGTCTAAAGTAGAGCAGCCTTTGCAAAAGCCATATTGGTGAGGTGAAAGGCTACCGTGTCTCTCCAAGAACCACATCAGACGTCCATTCACCAATCGTTCCATCACCTTGCAGACAACACTGGTCAGGGCAATGGGACGACAGTGAGAGGTGCCAAGCCCTGAGACACCTGGTTTGCAAAACAGTAGTACAACCGCCAATTTCCAGTCTTGAGGGAGAACCCCTTGCTCCCATATTAGATTGAAAAGATGTAAAAGAACGGGAAGGGCCGTAGAATGGAGGTGTTGTAGTATACTGATGTGGATATTCTCAGATCCCGTTGCCGATGGCTGGCAAATGGAAAGTGTGGACTCCAATTCTAAGAGTAAAATGTACGTTATACGGCTCCAACCCATCAGAAGAGAAATTTAAGAGCAATTGCTTTTTGGTAGGTTTAGATGCAAGAAATGAGGGACAGGTGAAGTCCTCGGGAGATGTGAACAAGATAGTTCCCAATTTCTGTGGCAACTAAGGGTTCTACGACATCAACTCCAGCAACCCGCAAGACTGGGTCCAGAGTGTACTTGCCCCACATTTTTTGCACCTTTTTCAAAATCGCACACGTAGGGGAAGACAAGGTAATGGTAGACACGTAGTCTCGCCAACAAGTGCGTTTAGCGTCATGGATGACGTGGCAAGCAACTGCCCTTGCCTGCTCAAAATCCAACAGACGCTCCGTGGTATGGTTATATCGATAACGGCCCTGCATAGCATGTTTTAAATGCACTGCACAGGTGCATGTAGGAGACCACCAAGGTACACATGCCTGAGAATGCCTACCCAAGGTTTGAGGGATTGAACGCGTTGCTGCAGTTAGGACTAATGTGAAGAACTGGTGCACTAGTTCATCAATAGACGACAAAACAAGGTCTTCGCAAGATGGGAGTACAAGTCTCAATCTGCTTGAGCAAATTGCCAAGGAGGACTAAGAAACGGTCAGGTATATGTAGTAGAAGTAAGAGGGATAGGAAAGCGATCAATATCATGTAAATTTGGAAGAACAGACCACATGAAATCAAATGCAATGGGCGAGGAACAGATTGAAAGATCACTGCAGGAGAGAGTGCGAGTCGAAATGGGTACGAGCACCCATATTTAAATTATTATTATTATAATCAAAAAGAAGCGCTAAGCCACAAGGGCTATACAGCGCTGCAGGGTAGGGAAGGAAGCGAGGGTATTGGATGGCAGAAGGGAGGAGGGATGATCAGTAGGTTACAGAAAACAGCGGGGCAGGGGATAGTACGGGGGTAGGGGGTAGCAAGAGATTGAAGTACAAAGGGCTGAAGGTATCAGAATTTGTGAAGTCAGTCAGTTGTTGTCAAAAAGTCAATGAGAGAGTCTGGATGAAGGGTGGGTCCATCAGCGAGAAGGGAAGGTAAAGAGAGAGCAGCAGAGCGAAGACGACGACGGAGGTAAATTCTGCGTGCTCGTTGATAAAGTGGGCAGTCCAACAGAATGTGGCTGACTGATAATGGAACTTGGCAATTCTCACAGAGAGGAGCAGGGCGCCTCTCCATGAGATATCCATGAGTAAGACGAGTATGGCCAATGCGAAGACGGGAGAGAGTAGTCTCCCAACCTCGACACTGGTGATAAGAAGACGGCCAGTAACCTATACTCGGTTTAATAGATTGAAGTTTGTTGCCGAGCATAGTAGATCAACGTTGTTGCCAACAGGTGTGAAGTTATGAAGATATTGCAGCAAAATAGTCCGTAAATGGAATACCTCTACATGAAACTGGTAGGTCATGTACTGCTGACCGCGCAGCAGTGTCTGCCTGTTCATTGCCCTGTACGTCAACATGACCAGGGACCCAACAAAAAACAATATCTTTATGCTTGGTAAAGATGCAGCGTAGCCAAAGTTGGATACGGAGGACTAAGGGGTGAGGTGTATCAAATTTCTGTATAGCCTGTAAAGCACTAAGGGAGTCTGAGACAACCACAAATGATGACACAGGCATAGATGCAATACGGATAAGTGCTGTAAGGATGGCATACAATTCAGCAGTAAAAATACTAGCCAAAGATAGTAAATGCCCTTGTACACGCTGTCCGGAAACATTGCTGCGAATCCTACGCCGTCAGAAGACTTAGAGCCATCTGTGTACACAGCAATGGCATGAGAATGAGAGTGAAAGTGGTCAAGAAAATGAGAGTGGGAAGCAACCGTAGACAGTTGGGCTTTCGAGCAAGGGAGAGAGAAAGAACAGACTCGAACAGCTGGAACTTCCCCAGGGGGGTAGGGAAAAGTGAGATGCTACGTGTACATAGAAAGGTGGTAATTGAAGAGAAGACGAGCGAATGAAGGCGAAGAGAGAAGGGACGGAGTAAACAGGGGCGGCGAACAAATAAAGAATGTCTACTAATATCAGTGACCATTCTATAAATGGAAGGATTGCGGAGATCATGAGAGCGTACATAGTAGCGAAGGCAATGGGCATCACGGTGATCGGATAAGGATGGAACGTTCACTTCTGCATAGAGGCTCTCGACAGGGGAAGAGCGAAAAGCACCAAGGCATAAACGTAATCCTTGGTGATGAATGGGGTTAAGGCTAGAGAGAGTAGTAGGAGATGCCGCTGAATAGATCTGGTCACCATAATCAAGTTTCGATTAGATAAGGGTGGAATGTAGGCGAAGGAGGGTTCGACAATCAGCTCCCCATGAAAGATGAGCAAGGGTTTTAAGGAGGTTCAGCCGGCTGTGGCAAGTTGCCTTCAGAGAGGTAATGTGAGGTTTCCAGGATAACCTACGATCAAAGAGGCGGCCC